TGTCAAACAAAGCCTCATTTTCACTACTTATCTTGGTCATAGATGTGATTTTTTTCATTTTTATGAATGGTCAAACGGCAGCGGTGAATCCTTGCAAGAGCATTGACTATCAAAAAAATACACTGAAACTAGTGAAAGAACAAACCATTGCTGAATCTTTCTTTGATTCATCCAAGTAAGTATTCTATTGATTGAAATCTTGAATTCACAAATATATTATTACAAATATTATATAAACAGTTTGTTCCAAACTAAATAATATCAGTTTTCAGAGACAAGACATATCATTTTAGAGCTTTCGTCTAGCTGATTTTAGTTGAGAGTTATGATTTTGAACAGAACTTTAACAATTCAGACTTAAGTTTAGTAAATAGAATATATTTAAAGTAGTTTGATGTGCACTATACAATCATAGATTTCGAAAAACTTTGTACATAAACAGAGTTAATTGCTTGAAGTGATAGTCTTATTTTTGAATCCGCTGAATGTTATCTTCAGATTTAACATTTAATAATGTTGTATTATCAAAGATCTTTAAAAGCTTCTATCTCACCATTCATTTTAACAGTTAAATTAATAAATTATCATCTCTACATACTTTTGTTTTTATATAAATTTGATCGAAAACATGTTCATTAGTTGTTTGGAAATTTTTAGGTACAATGAGATTGAAATGGTTCCTAATCGTTTTGAAGCATCCGACGTTGTACTTAGTCGTGATGGCCATGTCATGTATGTTGTATTCGATAATACATATCAAATAGGTGCTATATGTACTTCATTGGGACGTTCATTCAACTGTACGGATCGACTACTCGACTGGCCCGATTTGTCGTTAAATAGAAAAAAATCAGGATTTGAAGGAATGACCTACAATCCAGTGAGCGGTACGCATTTCGTTGTACAAGAAGCCATAGAAACGAATACCAAGAATGTATACAAGGCAAATGTTTTTGAAATTTTTATTGATCCAAAAGACTCAACACCTATACGTTTAATCGAATCTTGTTTAACCAATTGGGAATTCGGATCAGACAACAAGGGTTTCGAAGGTCTTGAATTTGTTTTTCATCAAAATTCAGGACAAACTTATTTACTCGGATTATGCGAAGCTAACAAATGCGATCATAAATCGAGTTCGACTAATGATGGACGCATTGTGGTTCTAGAAAAGAAGAAAGCGACCGCTAAAAGTAAGTAACTTTTTTCTAAAAAGATTAACTCTATTTTTATATTCTTTGAGACCCGTGCTCTTGGGAACCTGTGGGTACATTTGATTTGCCATCATCCGTTAATTTCAATGACTATTCAGCCATATCTATTTACCACCAAGAATCACGTGAATTGCCAACCTATGTTGCTGTAACAAGTCAAGAAAACAGTCAATTGTGGATTGGTCTTATTAAAGAAGTAAATCAAGTACCCTTCTTTGGCATATCTTCATTGGATAAGAGTACGGTCTACGATTTGCCACGAACCACTGAAACAGCATCCGACTGTCAAGTTAAATATTGTAACATTGAAGGTGTTGCATGGCGAGGCAAAAATCAACTCATTCTTGTTTCAGACAAGGCTAAAAGCGATGAAGATATTCATTGCATTGACAAAGATCAGAGTGTTCACTACGTTGCACTACCAGAACATTTGAATGATTAAAGCATTTTTTTCTTTTTAATTGAAATTGATTGACACTAATGAACTAATCTATTATTACAGAATAAAAGGTAATTAAAGAAAATTTACACATGTATCGTATTGATGTCAACTGAATTCTAAATATCAACTGAGAAGTCAATATCGTAGTATATTGATTCTAACAATCGATCTCATATCATATCATAATGTCAGATACGAAGCAGCGTTGTTTATATTCTTTCTTCAATGTTTATGCTCAGCATTCAGAGTAACGATTGTATTTAATTAGTTACTCAATTGTATCCATATGTATTTATCAGATCTTGATTGAAGCCTTGTTATATAAAGCACTATTCTTAAAAGTGTTGATATAAATTGCCAGTATCTTTTCTTACCCTAAATTTATTATATTTTTCTGTTTTCGACAGAGAATAATAGCCATCGTTGATATAGGTAAAAGTTTCATTACAAGACGATAATCAATGAATAAAAGTTGATGTCTCTTTACATCTGATCAAAAACCTTAATTATTGATATACTCAGCTCGTCATTCAATATAGATTCCTACCTAATGCTATTACATAGTTGTGATCAAAATCTTTGAAGAACATTACTACCAATTTATTTGATTCATTTAATACCGTGATACTGTAAAAACTAATTTGTATTATCAGATATATCTTCAATTTATAACTTCTTTTCTCTTAATGATAACATATCTACAATACATGCCATAGAAAGCGACAAACATATAATTTTACTCTTCGATTCGTCGATTCAACTACTGTATTAATCTGGTATAGACATTGATTTTATCGATCAATAAGTTATCCCACACACTCTTCTTTCTCTTGAAGAATTTTGACATATACTACTGAGTTTTGTCTGATATTAGAAATAGAATCAATTCAGATTTTT